TGGGGTTTAAAACAGTTTCCATATTTAGATGGCTGCAAAGAGATCAAGGTAAAAAAAAATCCCAGCTTTGCCATTTCAGTTCTAAGGAAAAGGACTAAACCCACCTCTGGAAAATGCTGTTTCTTTATGAAATACAGTGTCAATTTGTTACTTTTTGGAAAGAACAAAAAAAAATTAAATTAATTGGCATTTTCCTCCACATTTTTCTCAGGCTTATGCAGTGCCCCGGCTTCTTGGCAAGAGAGGGAGGTGGTAGAGGCAGTGCCGGGGAAGCTGCATTTTGAAGCAGCTGCCAGGGCATAGGATTACCAAATAAATTTAAAATATGAAACCGTGAGTATTTCACCAGGGACGCGGCTGCTGAAGGAATCCGCTCAGCCTCTTGGCCATGACTTGTTGCCCCCTGCTCCATTGCTCCTGAGATGGGTTTCTTCTCCACCATGCTTGTGGTTGCTCACTAGAAGCTGCAGGACGAGGCTCCCTGAGATGACACAGTGTGGGGGACTCGTTTCTCCTGAGCCTTCCAGCCACGCTCGCCTCCATCCCCTCGCCCCGAGCTGGGGTGGGTGATGCAGCCGGCGGGGAGCAGCTCGGTGCTTGGGAAAACCCCTGAGGAGCAGGAGACCGAGTCCTGCAGGGCCGGCTGGAGGCAGGTTGGAGCTTGCCCGAAATGAGGATTCCTCACAGCTGGGCGGTTCGTTTTGGGGTTTCACAGCGGGATGGTGAGCTGTGGAGTCACTTCCCGCTGCCGACAGCACGGGGCAGCACCAGACCTCTTCCTGCCACTTCTTTCTGGATTTGGGTGGATTTGGGATTTGCTCCTTTGTTTCAGCTTATTTCTCATTTTTTTTTGCAGGCAAACAGCACGACAACACAATGCCCGAGCCGTAAGTAACATGATTTTTCCTCGGATTTCAGCAGATCCTCGCCTGGCTGCCGGGCTGCTCGTGCCAGATGAGCTTGTCCATTTTTGGAGGGGATCAGCTGGGACACCAACCCATGCTCAAGACCCCTGTGCCATTCCTCTTGCAAAAATTATCTTTAAATAAAAATTATTAGTGATTTCAATGTCCCGATTCAAAACTTGGAGCTTTCCTAGATCCCAAAATAGGGATCCGAGGTGGGCAGCACCACTTGCTTCACAGCACATCATACAGATGAGCAGAAGGGACAGACCTCCCTGTGAGGCTTTCGTCAAGCGATGACACGGAGATGTCCCAGCCCTGCAAACCTGAACAGGACCCCAGCATCCTGCCTGCTCCCTGGGGAGCGTGTGGATGAGGGTGTTGTGGCCCGAACCTCAGGGAACCAGGTTGGGCTGGCACAATGGGCACCGTGACAGCTCGTGTGATGTGTTTGAGTGGCATTTTGGCTTTCTGAGCAGTGGCCCTGAGTGCCCACTGCATTTCCAGAGAGCACCATCATCTCAGACCTGGCTCGCTTGCAGGTGGCAACTATTAGATTAGAGACAGAAATAAGGAAACCAACTGCAATCACCTGCCATGTTTTTGTTGACTGTCACCTCTTTTTGACTTTTACTCACTGATGTCCTGTTCTCTTCCCTTGTTCCTTATTGCTCCTTCCTGAACACCCACCTGCCTGCAGGGAGGTGAGTGCCTTTCCTTTCGGGAGTGATCTCAATGCTACTCTACGTTTGCTGTGAGCTTGTTTTCAAAGAGTGGTTTTTTTTTTCTTCCTCCCCTTTCCCCTAGAGAAAATCCAAGATCACAGCCTCACGCAAACTCTTGTTGAAGGTGAGTCCTGAGGGTTGGAAACTCCCTGGGGTTTGTCTTGCTGGGGAAAAGGAGCCAGGGTTGAAGTATGTGGTTGGTGGGACAGCAATGAGGAATGGCAGATGTATGGGCCTTGGGGAGCAGCTCTCGTTCCCAACTCTTGTCTTCTCAAAAATCCTCACTCATGTGGGCTTTGTGGTCCATACACCAAACAAACCTCCCCTCATCTCCACTTTACTAAGGTGGGGAGAGATTTTGACGCCTTCAGCTCTCGTGTTTGTGCACCAGCAGCTCTGCAGCAGAAGCTTGGGAGCTCCCTGGGCTGTGGCTTGGGAAAATCATTTATTGCCACAGCAGAGCAAACCGATGCAAAGAAAGTGCCAATGTCAGCATCTATCAGGACCACCTCCACCACAGCCCAGTGGTGCCTCTGGCCATGCTGCTCCCCCTGCCTTCAGGGTCACCACACAAAAGGTGTGGGGATTGTTTGGTGTGTGTTGCAGCAGCACAGTGATTTTGGGAGGACAGCTACAGTGGGGAGGAGGTTTGGGAGGCAAACAGGGCTGTCCCATCCTACAGACATTGCATGAGGAGACTCAGGGGGAACAGAGGAGCCTGTCTGTTCACACTTCTGCCATCTACTTGTGTTCACAGAGTCTGATGCTGGCAAAAGCAAAGGAAGAGTGGGAGCAGGAGATTGTGGACAAGCAGTCAGAGAAGGAAAGATACCTGTCTGAGCGGATCACACCACTGCACACCAGTGGGCTTTCCTTGAGCCAGCTCCAGGTATTTCTCAGGTCTAATGGTGGAGTAAGCTCCTTGGGAGCAGGGAAAGGCATTGCTCACCGCTCTCCTGTTGTGTTTGGCCCCCAGGACCTGTGCAGGGAGCTGCATGAGAAGGTTGAAATTGTGGATGAAGAGAGATATGATATTGAAGCAAAATGCAACCATAACACCCGTGAGGTAGGAGGCAGGACGGGATGTTTGCTTCTACATTAACTCCCTCCCAGATGGTAGCTTGGGCCTCAATGTGGGGTCTGCCATGGACTGGGCTGAGCTTGGATGTGGGACGTGCACCAGGGTTATCTAAGGCTTGGTGTTTGCTCTGCAAGGCATAATTCAGCACAAGGTTCATCCCTGAGGCAGGGAACTCAAACTGTCCACTGGGTCCACCAGCAATGTCCTTGCTCTCCTGGTCACCTCTTGTGGGTCTGAGAGCTCCTTCTCATGGTATGGCTGCCATCTGAGCAGGCTGGGACAAGGCGATGACAACAGCTCTGTGCTCAGGTGGACAGTCCCTTGGTGAAGGTGGTCCTCATGGCTGCAGGAGAGGTGCAGACCCCTCTGGGGCTTGGTGTCAGCAGAGACTCCTGCTTCACACAGGAGCTTTTTGTGCAAGGCAGCCATGCGATGACCTCCCACTCCTCCTTCTTTCCTCAACTTGCAGATTAAAGATCTGAAAATCAAAGTGCTTGATCTGCGAGGAAAGTTCAAGCGACCTCCGCTGCGGCGCGTCCGCGTCTCCGCTGATGCCATGCTGAGGGCTCTGCTGGGCTCCAAGCACAAGGTGTCCATGGACCTGAGAGCCAACCTGAAGTCTGTCAAGAAGGAGGACACAGAGAAGGTGGGTGGCTCTTTTAGAGGCCAGAGATGGAGACTCCTCCTATGGATGCCCATGCCCTTGCCCATCTCCAAGGTCCACTGTGAAGCTTGTGTGGGCTGTGCTCATCCCTTGTAAGCCTCAGAAATAGCACAGGACAGTCTTTGTGAGGCACTACCTGTTGCAGGATCTTGTAGGACCACATAGGAGCAGTTTGACTGGACCAGGTAACTGGTGGATGAAAACAAGTGAGATTTAGGGCTGTGTCCATGATGATCTTCCCTCCCAAAGCATGTGGGGATCTTTCAACTGGAGCCTCCTTGGCATGTCTGTTGACCTGCACTTGCAGAGAGTTTTGTCTTTGGTCTTCTAGGGAACCAGGAGGACTCTATTTGGTGCAATCACACCTAGAAAACACCTAGAAAACTTCCAGACCCAGATTAGATAAGATAGAGCAAGCCCAGCAAGCACCCTTGGCCTGAGATCAATGTCCCACTTCACACTGGTTTTGCAGAGATGCGAGAGGGGAACATCTCAATATCAGAGACAGTGATGCCCAAACCTGCCTGGGCTCTGCAGACACCCCAACAGCAAGAGCTGTGCTGCTTTCCTAGGGCCTCTCCCCAAAGGGGTTTTATTCTTTGGTCCCAGCTTAGCAGATTGGATCAGAATCTCAATTTTCAATTATTTATCCTTTTTTCCCCTGTTGCTAGAGTAGCACATTTTCAGCCCTTTGGATAGAAAAGTGTGTTTACAGTCCTCAGTGCCAGGTGGGGAATAGATCTGAGTTTATTTTAGGTGTTGTGAGATGATTTTGGGGCATGGCTCGTAATCTATGAATGCTTGTGGGTTGGCAGAGCAGATACCTGGGCACGCTCCCAGAGCTGCCATCATCTCCCCTTTCTGTTCTAGAAGCAGCTTCCAGGCTTTCACTGTCACACCAGCAATCCCAGTCCTCTCCAAGAGCTTGGAGAAGGTGCAGTTGGGTTTGTGTGGGCTGGGAGGTCCATGCAGAAAGTGGTTTTGCTTGCATTTGCCCCAGTGTGCTGGTGTAAATCTGGAGTAAGTCCCATGTGCTGGTTTCTTCCTCCTAACTAAATTTTCTGTGATTTTTGTGCCTTTGGGTTGGATGAGGCTTTGAGCAACCTGGTCTAGTGGAAGGTGTCCCTGCTTGTGGCAGGGGGGTTGGAACTGGATGAGCTTTAAGGTCCCTTCCAACCCAAACCAGTCTGGGATTCTGTGATTCTAGTGCATTAATGTAACTTAGCCAGGCTTTAGGGGGGGTGGGGGGGGAGGTATCCACATGAATCCAGACCTCCCTGTGGAGATCAGACCACTGTTTGCCATTGTCCCAGTCAGCTCCATGTGCAGGGACACATGACAGAGCTGTCTCCGAGGGAGAGGACGTTTGCCACAGAGCAGCTTCCTTCCCTGTGCTGCTTGTGCCCTGGGGCTGAGGGCTCTGTGGAACGGGGTGGGACAGTGTGGGGTTGCTGGCTGCCTCATCACAC